CCAGCCATCATAAAACAAAGCCCCCTCCAGAGAAGCTACCTTACGAGAAGTCTGAAGAGGAATAAAAAACAGCGGCACAAAAAGATTTGGATAACTAGAAGCAAAGTTTAGCAGAATCAAGAGTAAGGAGGTTGGAACTTCAGAAAAACCCGCCAAAACCGCACTGCATAGCCAAATGAGAACTAAGGAAAAAAATCAATGAGCACGAGAAAAATCAACGTGATGCACGTAAGCCCTTGCCATTATTGGACTATGAACGCTCTCTCGACAAGTCATATAAGGCGTCGCTGAAAGCGAAGAGAGCATAGAAAGATGTTGCACAGCTCGAGCAGCAATCTAAGCAATCTATCGACCCGCTAGTTGTTGAGGATGATTGTACAAACGCATAAGGCAGTCCAATCGATAGGGAGACACTCTAAGACTTCATGGCCACAATAGGTTTCACACCTGAACAACTCATTGGGGGGAGGATCCATACCAACAACCAACTTTGATATTTATTGGACCTATGAGTATGGCAGGAGTCTTGTCAACCCTAAGTCCTTCTCATCACTAGGTACGCAAATGTTCTTGTTAAACAAGTGGTACTTAAGAGCATGTGACAACGAAGAGGCATGGCTTGTTGTTAGAATTAGACCAGAGCATTACTCCAGTGGCTATGACGTTTTAAATATTGAGTTCAATGAATTACACAAACTATTAAATCGGGACGCTCTCAACAAATCTCTCCTCAGCTGCTGGTGTTTGTAAGTGATTCTTTCTACAATTGAAGTAACTTGCATGTTAGTTCGTTGTCTATATATAGTTATCCTCACACTATATATATTCGTTTGTACTATATAAATGCATATATGAGATGCTGAAACTAAAGAGAAAAGGGTTAACTGATGTTGGTTTCATGGATCTGAATCGCACATTCAAGGACACTGTTACTCCATATGATAGATGGCGACCTCAAGTGGAGAATAATCTGTTTAAGTTCTTAGATAACCAACATAACAAGACACTGATACTCTTCCCTTACAACTTCAAGTGAGTGTTAATGTCTTGTGCCCATTTTATTTTGCTTACTCCATGTTGACTTTAGTTAATGAGTTATGCCTGCGTATAAACATGTAGCTATCACTGGATACTGCTGGTCATTGATATGCCTAGGAGTACTATAAAGATCTTTGACTTAGCGACAAAATCTCAAAAAGATTACCAAGAAATGATAGATATTCTCCAGTGGAAATTTCGGTCTCGCACACTGTATACTCTCTTATGCCATTTTATTGATATAACTCCATTTATTTATTTTGTTGGACAGTGTTTGGAAAAGGTTCATCGAGAAACGTCATTATGGTCAATGGAAAGTGCCTCTGAATGTAGTTCAATACCCAGTAAGTACTAGCTAGGTCACCGCATCTTTATTTAGTTCAATTCATTATTACCATGCTTTATTGGTTGATGATGAATCTTTTTCTCGTAAAGTGGTGTCTGCAGCAGGGATCGGGGAACAACTTATGTGGATACTACGTCTGCAAGTTCCTCATGGAGTACTCAAGGAGAACAAGTAAAGAGATCCTCGAAGTACGTAAAAAATATACATAATTTATTTATTACCATTGTGTTGATATATATATATATATATATTCCTTTCATTCGAATTGAAGATTGAATGGAGGAAGCAAAAGGTTATGCGATGTGACCAGATCAAAGCAATTCAAGAGACATTGGCAGGATTTCTTATGTATGAGATCATAGATCCCAAAGGCGTGTACCACTATGACCCTAAAGAATTAATACCTAGTAGCCATACGACTAAAAATTAGGGTTGAATGAAATCCCAAGGACATGAGTACAAGATTTTTGTGACTTTATTATGTACATATTCCATGCATGTACAACCTCTTGAAATATTTATATATATGTGGTTTCATACATTTTAGTGTGTTATTTATGTATAATGCTCGAACAGAACCTTATACGTGGACGTATATTAGCAGCGTAGAATTCGTATACGAAAATCTAATCAAAACCAAAAAGAAATGAATTGAAAAGAAACCATAAAATAAAAAGGAATGAAATAGAAAAAAAGGAAACATTTAGTACCGGTTGGGAACACCAACCGGGACTACAGGTGCCAGCTCCGGTGCAATGCTTGGGGGCCATTTAGTCCCGGTTAGTAAGAGCAATCGGAACTAAAGGTCCACTTTCAGTCCCAGTTGCCAGAATCGGGACTAAAGGGGGAGACTTTAGTCCCGGATTCGTAATCCTGGTTGGGAAACCGGGACTAAAGGGGGTTTTTCAACTGGGACTGATGCCCAGTCCTGCACAAGTGTGGGTTATTGGAGATTTTTTGTGCAATTCTGGATTATTTTATTTGAAGTATAGTTTTTTTTGCAGCATAGTATTATTGGTGTGGTATATAATCTTTTAATTTTACATTAAACAAGCTAGACTATTTTATGATGTTTGTATGTCCTCTTTACCTTATTAATCTATTTGTGCATGTAGTTGTGTACCGACGTATTTCATTTATAGCGGTTAGAAAAATTAAACAATGGATCACCCTACTTATAAATCCTAGCTACGCCACTGCTACTGAATGCTTAGATCGATTTGAGAACCAGCCGCTCTGCTCGTAGTTGGTTCTGTTACAGTAATTTGCAACCTAAGGCACGGTAGTGAGATGGCAGAGATGTTTGAGCTTAACCTTCAGGTTCCGAACGTGCTGCTTTGGATGCTATCGAACATTCAAGCAATTGCCTGATAATGTTTCATCATCTAGCTCTTTGGTAGTGATTACCAAAAAAAAATGTTGCGATTGTTTTTTTCCTTGAATATGAGTTGCTATCTTGCTATGCTAATGCTACAATTAATTTTCTTTGACCCTTGAGCCCGTATATTTTTTTAGTTGTACTAGATAAATACCCGTGCGTTACAACGGAAAAACATAATAGGACATGTGTTATACTGTTATTAAAAAAGATACTCCAATTGTGATGTTTGTAACATCTATATCTCATGAGTCTTCATAAATGATAGATAATTAAAATATAACTCCAAGTTTTGATGCGAAACTAAAACAATCAAGTTCATATTATAAGAGCCTATGCGAAAGTTCATATCGTAAGAACCTAGCTATTGTCTACAATACGACAAAGATAAGTTTACACTTATTTAGGAATTGATTTTTTTCTAGCATTCCCTTTGTATGCCAATAACTTGATCACGAAATCATTTCATATCCTTCGGGCATCCTGTGCAAAGTCAAATATAAAAACCAGAAAGTACAATCAGTAGCCTTGTACCTTCTAAGGTAACAGGTGATGACATATTCTTTGGGTTTATTCTGAAATATTATGATTTTAGAATCACTTGAGCGAAGTCCTTTTTTTTTCTTTCATTGTATCTACCCGATCAGTTGATTGGGCTTTTTTATCATGCGTGTATCAATGCTAAAGGCCTGATCACCTGATGGAACTCCACGACTAACTTCAGTATGCATGCCTTTTTCCATCTACTCAGAATCATTCAAAGGTTCTCTTGGAACCTGACATCATAAGTGGTGTAGTCGTGTCCTTGTTCTAGTAACATGTTAAACCTCTCGGTCAGTGGCGGAGCCAGGAATTATGCATAAGGGAGGCTGGTCGAAGAATTTCAAAATATGAAAATTGAGTGTAGCTTATTTGTTTAGATTTTTATCTTGAGCTAGGCTTCTATTTTCCTCGATTTATTCTAATATTTGATGATTTAACCTTGCTCACTAGCTATTCTTCACGTAGTAGACGATCGTGTATATCAATAGTGGGGCGTATGTGCTGATGACTCATGAATATTGAAATCTACCGGCTTGGTATTTTAGAAGTACTCATACCCATGGTAGGTGACTACGTCTGTCGATAACGGGCACATGATTATTTATGAATCTTGAAATTTACCAACTTAGTATTTCGAAAGTGCTCATAATGGAGTAGGATGTGTGTTTCATCATAAGAGTTGTGCGTATATGCATGTACGTGAGCATCTACATTTATACCGTGATTCACAATAAAAAGGGATGGTCACCGAATTGTTATTGCTAGTTAAATACGTGTTCAATAAATAATGAAGTATAATGAAACATAACTATTTTAATAAACTAAAAAAATAATAGATATATATCCTAATATGGTAGGCAAACAAATTTAGATAAATCAAAATATTTTATTCTAATTATATTCTATGTGATTTAGATGTCAATAAACATTATAACAAGATTTTTCTTATTATACCTTTTTAATATAAACATAGACTATTTACTATATATATTATATATAAAAATATTTGTATTGTTAGGGGGGGTATGGCCCCCCTTGGCTCCGCTGATGCTCTCAGTCTCTGAGCTACTCACGACCGCTACTAATTTGCAACTCTAAAATTCTATAATATTACTATCTATGTTAAGGGGGTGTTTGAATTCAGGGACTAAAATTTAGGAAGTGTTACATTGGGTGTTTGGATACTAATAATAAAACTAATTACAAAAGTCGTGACTAATTCGCGAGATGAATCTATTAAGCCTAATTAATCCATCATTAGCACATGTTACTGTAGCACCACATTATCAAATCATGGACTAATTAGGCTTAATAGATTTGTCTCGTAAATTAGTTTCAATCTATGCAATTAGTTTTATAATTAGCCTATGTTTAATACTCCAAATTAATGTCAAACATCCGATGTGATAGGAACTCAACTTTAGATGGTGGGAACCAAACACCCCCTTAGTTTGTGAGTGAACCTATTTTACTTGAGATGACAAAGCGCTGAGAGTCTCGATGGAACGGGAACTTTGCTTCGATTCTAACGGAAACACCCATGAATAACCGATCCCAGAAACTTGAATGTCTTGGAACCTCTTAAATCTGTAACAGATCGCAGAGAACTTCTGTTAGCAATTTGTTAATAGACCTTGAGTTGCAATAAGTTCGCAAAAAATATTTAAAAGGTAACAAGACATTCAACTTTCTGACATGGGTTATTCATGGAGTATTACCGTTACAATCGAAGCAAAGTTCCCGTTCCATCGATACTCTCAGTGCTTCATCCTCATGGATACTATGGTGAGACGCAAGAATGACTGAGCCACGTCAGTTAAAATAGTTTCACTTACAAACTAACATAGATAGTAATGTTATATAATTTTAGGGTTGTAAATTAATAGCGATCGTGAGTGGCTCAGAGACCGAGAGGTTCAACATGTTATTAGAACAAAGACGCGACTACACCATTTATGATGTCAGGTTCCAAGTGAACCTTTGATTGATTCTAAATGGATGGGAAAAAAAATCGTCTGCATACAGTTAGTTGTGGAGTTCTATCGGGTGACCAGGGCTTTAGCATTGATACAACGCATGGTAAAGAAGTCTAATCAACTCATCGGGTAGATACGACTGAAGAAAACAAAGACTTCCTTCTAGTGATTCTGAAATCAGAATATATCATAATAATAAACCCAAAAAAAATCTATGTCATCACCGGTGCCCTAGAAGGTAAAGGGTACTTTTTGGTTTTATATTTGACTTTGCATAGGGTGGCCAAAGGATATGAAATGACTTCGTGATCAAGCTATTGGCATACAGACGAAATTCTAGAAAAAAATCAATTTCTAAGGAAGTGTAAACTTATCTTTGACATATCGTAGACAATAGCTAGGTTCTTAATTACAATATGAACTTGATTGTTCAGTTTCGCATAGGTTACCTTATAATATGAATTTGATTGTTTCGGTTTCACATCAAAACTTGAAGTTATATTTTAATTATCTATAATATAGATGTTCCAAACATCACGATTGCAATATCTTTTTTAGGTAACAATATAAAATACGCAGGTGTTATCGTCGTATTATATTTTTCCGGTGCAACGCATGTGCATTTACTTGGTAAGTTAAAATAACTGCACTATCAAAGTATGTTGCATGTGTAATTTAATGAACAAAATAAATGTTGGTGCATTTTTTTTAGAAATTTAACTCAACTTAGAGAAGTTTTATTTATGATGAAAATTCTAAAATAAACTATAATCTAAAATAGAGGAAGTTTGGTTAAAAAAACATAAGGCCTTCTTGTATGACCTATGAGTGATCACTTCGTCCTCTTTATAGATTTATATGATTTATCTTAAGTTTAATTAAGAACCAAAGAATGTCTACATGTTTTTATCAGTCTTGTACGAGAATTCAAATGGCTATCTGACTTCGCCACACTTAGGAATTGTAGCCAACCAGATGACTTCAGTTTATCACAAAACTCGATCATGCAACAAGTGGCATTCAGCGGTGGCTAACAGCAATATCATAATTGTGGTACGATTTTACTCACAAGGCTTACTTCATTTTATTATAAAATAATGTTTTGACCAACAATACTCCACTAAGGTAGTGTTTAGTTCCAGCAAAATTTTTGGCTAAACGGTACTGTAGCACTTTCGTTGTTATTTGATAATTAGTGTCCAATCATAGTCTCATTAGGCTTAAAAGATTCGTCTAGTGAATTTCGTCTAAACTATGTAATTAGTTTTATTTTTTATTTATATTTAATGCTTCATGCATGCGTCCAAAGATTCGATATGATGGGGAATCTTGAAAATTTTTGCAAAATGAAGTGCAACTAAACATACTCTAATATGCCAGATGTAAAAAAAAATGATCATAAATAGGTATTTTTAAATACAGATATAATTTCGTGCTGCTTTATACTAACAGAGTAATGGTTGGTCAAAGCCGGGTTCTAATAAGAAAAAAAAAAGCTTTGCAATTTCAAGGGAGTAATAAGAAAATATAAAGAAAGTCAACACTCAGTTGAGTGCATGCGCTATTCACACGTCACACCCTCACCTAATAATGTTAATAATTAACGCCTTTTCCTCCGCTCTCAGTGAGGTTTTGAGAAAACAAAATCATTCCAAACCGCGTCGCCTTCTCACTCATTCTCTTGATGCGAAAACCGAAACGAGGAGGGAGCCGCCACGCCAACTTCCTTTGCACTTCCTCCGGTCGTCGCCCTAGCCCACCACCTTCGGAGCTCGGAGTCTTCTTCCCCGACCTACACCTCGTCGTCCCCTGCCGTGCTCCGCGTTGCCGCCTGCGGGCGCCGCAAGCCGTGCGTGCCCGCAGGTTCCCTGATTTGGTAACTGCTCCTCCTGTTTCTGTACTCCTAGCCCTTTCCCTGCCCAATTGCATAGCTCTTGGCCACTTTTTGAGAAATGCGGCACAGCACTTTCCTTCCGATCCATGGTGGAAATTCGCACCTCCTGTGGCAGATCTTACGGGAGACGCGCCTTCTCGGTCCGGGCCGCGCTCGCGATTCGGCGCTCGCCCGCTTGCCGGGCGCCGATTTCTTGGCTGCTTGGATTCCTGTTCCCTGTAGACAAGTGTTGCTGCTAATAAATTCTGAGGGTGTCGTGGTGCGAATTTTATTACTTTATTAGTGTAAGTTGTTTCTGCGGCGTATGGAATTCTTTACGGATCCTAGAGCAAGTTAGCACTTGGTGTCTATGATTGTCTGTTGAGTGTTGGCATACCACCAACTTTAGATAGAGTACAAATCTGACATTTATTTTTGGCCTTATTCTGTTTACCAACTCTTGAAAGTACTACTATGTTCACAATGTTTGACTTAGCTGAGATAAGCCGTCTGTAGTTGTTGAGTTAAAATGTTTTTTGTTTTCCTGATGGAATTCTAGAAAAGTAGTATGCCTGTTCTTTACTGTTTCTTGTTCTTAACATGTGTCATGCATTTATACCCACCTGTGCTGCGGCTCTGTACTGTAATGCATCGCTTTCAGCTTTACATATATGAGGCGTGCGCAGCACACGTCACTTTCCTTGTTTTGTATTACATAAAAACAACTGAGGGCTTTTTTTTCTCTCTGAATTAGAATTCATCTCAGTTGTCAGTTGTTAACAACTGTGTACCTTATATTACATATGTTCTACCAGGAGAACAAAATATAACTAGACATATAGAGTGCTACTATTTTTTTATATAAACTAGCACAAGTAGAATCTTTCACGTGACTGTGACTTAGAGAGCCAGATATGTCACCTTATGACCTTCAGTGAATTTATGAGTTCCTTCGTTCGTGAGGTACTTATAGGCCGTGATCATGGCCTTGTATAAATGACAATCATGCCCCTTGGGCCAATAATGTAATTCCTTAGGGTCCAGTCTCCAGACCTCTCGAAGCACATGTCTTGACGGTCTTCTGAAAAGTGAGTTCTCATTCTCAAGGCTTCAGGGTTCTTTGTGATGCGTCATGAGGGTCCCCAAATATGGATTTTGGATACATCATGGGGCAAGCCCTCCACGCCTTTAGGATGCAGGGTTTTAGAGCCTTCTAGATATGGATCCTTGAAGCACATAGAGGCGCATATGGTTATTATCGCCTATTCTCCCAGGTCTTCAGTGAGGCTGAGTTCGAGTCTGCTTAGGCAGGGGACTAAATCTACTGCATATATGATGCAGTGTTGAAGTTGTTTTAAGCCTGCTTGGTTGGAGGCCTATGCATTCTGCCTGGAAAAAGAGCTTCCTAGGATGTTTTTGCATGGCCAGGCAAGTGTGAAGAATTTCTGTTTGGTTGGAAGCCTGTGTCTGAGAATGCTAATAATGAAATCGGCGCATCATAAATACTTGTTTAATTACATGTCTTATTAATAGCACTGTCATAATATGGACTATCTGACTAAGTGGTTTATATTGTTTTTTCAGTGAATTAAGTTTTTGATGACAATATAAATGTTTAAATAAAACTCCCATATTATTTAATTAAATATGATAGAGAAAGGATTTCCTAAAAACATGTAGCATTGAATATGTTGCGCAAGCTTCCAAAATAGGTAAGGGCAAACCAAATTATTTATAGTTATGCGACCTATTTACAAGCCATCCAAATGAACAGAAAAATAAATAAAATGAAATAACACCCTAGCAGCGAGTAACACGTTTGAAAACATCATGATTATGCCTAGACACCCATGTTTTATTAGCCAGGCACTAGTTTTCGGTGGATGGCCTGGAACTACTGCTGTCTGGACCAAGGCTCAATATCAGTGCTGCAACTGAACAGATAGAGGCAGGTTCCAGGCTCCCTCTAAGCCAGGCAATTTTTCACCAGGGTCTCAACCAAACAAGCCCTTGCTCTTTGTGGAGTTCTAGTCCCTTTCGTTGTTGGTTGGTTTTGCCTGTAGCAGATACTTCTACAAATAAATTACTACAAGACGAACCATGGATAGCTACGTCTGTATCCTAAAAAGTAAAATACAGGTGCTCCCTATGGTCTGATTCATTTTTTGTTTTAGGTCAATACCCGTGAGACAAGAAAGCATTTGTGTTCTAGTTTTTGGCATAGCTTAACCCTACTGGTAACAGTAAGTAATTTATATGTGGGCATTTAGTGGAAAAGTTCCAGTGAAAACCCAAAACAGGATTTCAAACTGAAACTAGTCTGCATATTTCTACACTGGAGGAATGGTATGATAATAAAATATTAAAGACAGTGATATTAAAGTCCTGACCAAACTATCAATGTGTTCTACATGACATACTCATGATGTTTTTACATTTTTAATAGAAACATAGATGACTCTGTTGTGCTATATCTGGATGGTATCTTGAAAATGCCTTTGGCATTTCCTGCAACAATTTCTTACAAAGACCTTCATGCCTCATTTCTGAATACTGAATTATCTAGCCTGTGTTATTTCCTTTTTTTTATGTCACTTGTTGAACTGATGCTAGCCTTACTTTTCCTCCTTTTGTCTGTTTGTTTGTGGCAGTAGTTTATTTAGGAAGTTTATAATTGATCAAAAAGACTTAGTCCAGTCCTACTTTTCAAATCACTATGGTCACCCTTTAGTCGGCCTAGCATGGAATGTCAGGTGTGTTAGCTTTCCCCCCTTCTGTTTGAATATTATCTTGTGCATAATGGATTTTTTATCCTACTTCCATTTTTTCCTTGCATGTATTAGTCATGATGTTGGGCTCAAAGAAGGAAAGGAATCTCAGCATGCGCTTTCAATCAGGCCAGAAATCTTCTGGTAATTTTCGTTTGTTTTCAAAAGTCCAATCTGCCAGCCCACCACCAGGGAATACGCTGGTTTATCTGAATGTGTATGATTTGACACCAGTAAACGGCTATGTTTACTGGGCTGGTCTAGGGGTATTTCATTCTGGCATTGAAGGTATGATGTCCTACAAGTTTCCTTGATTCTTTTTATGTTTTCATAAGGTCAACAACATTATTTTCTTCCTGTAAAAGAT